CTGCTCTGATTTCTGCCCATTTATCAGAATTTATCGACAACAAATGTTTAACAATCTGAGCTTGACCCATTCCTTGAACTTGCAGAGCCTTCAACAAAAGATGTTCCCAATGTCCTGAGTGCAGAATTTCTACTTGAATATATATATATTATTATTGTATAGATATTTCTTTTTGCATTCCTTATTATATGTCAGAACTAGCTTTCTCTAAAAAGGGAAATTTATCTTCAAATTTTCATTGGAGTTTCAGAGCCCTTTACAAAAGAAATTCCAAATATCTTTAGTGCAGATTTCTGCCTTAATATATATATACATATATATATTATTATTATCATATATATATATATTTTCTATTGCATTCCTTATTATATGTAAGAACTAAATCCCTCTGAAGATCTTATATAAATCTCATTCATCTTAGCCCATTCCTTGAATTTTCAGAGCTTTATACAAAAGATGTTCCCAATGTCTCATGTGAATATTTTTCTACTTGAATATATATATAATTATTATATATACATATTTCTCATTGCATTCCTTATTATATGTCTCTCTCTCTCTCTCTCTCTCTCTCTCTGCAGATCTATTGATCTTTAGCTTTATCCCTTAGAAGTATCCCAAATATTTTTGTTCAAACCCTTTTTTTTTATAAAAATATTTAAATAATTCTCAATAATTAAATAATTTCCCATTAAATCTCTTTATGTTATTTAATAAACTTTAACTTTGCCTCAAAACTGTATCCAAAAACTGTAAATGATACCCCTCTTTCTCCCCCTCTCCGCCTAAAATATCGAAGGTTTATTTTAAATTGTTCCCTGGTTTTTTTTTTGTAGTTTTATGTTTGAGCGCCAAAAACTGGCCAAAAATCCTTTCACATGCAAATCATGTGCCACAAAGGACCAAAAATCCCTTTATGTGCAGTTCCTGCAGCTTATCTATGGTCCTTTTGCTTCTATAGAAAAAAAAAAACAACCCTTCCATAGACAAAGGATTGAAAAACTCGTACATTGACTTTTTGAAGCGTATTGCGCGCGCAATAAATTTGCGCTAAAATCAGTTAAATACTCGCAGTTAATAAACTTTTTGGTAAAATAGTTTTAATTTTTTGGTTAGCAATTAGTTTTATTTATTTGCATTAAATCTCAACCTCTCGCAACCAACTTGGCTGAACGCTCAACAATGTTGCAGCAACATTTCTCTCACCTTGCAACATTTGCCAGAAACGCGCTAAATATGCACAGAAAACGCGTTTTGCTCAGCAGCTGGCAGACAATAGTTGTCCCGTTCTGACGCGCAGGCGCACCCAGCTTACCGCTCACGTACATCGCAACAAACAGGGATGACCACGAAAGGTGTCTGTGTGTGTGTGTGTGTGTGTGTGTGTGTATGCTGCTGGCAGCCTTTTTGTTGCTGCAACTATGCGCTCACGAGCGCGCGCTCTCACTCTCTCGCGCTCTCGCTCTATGCCGCTCTCCCCGTGTGTTGCTCTCTCAGCGTAGCTGCTTAAAACGAATTTAAAAAATAAAACATTTTCTGCTTTCATTCTGTTTTGGATTCTTGCGCTGTGCGGTTCGTTGCGGCTGCTACGTTGTTTTGTCGCCAATTCGCTTTGTGGCTCTTATGTCGTGCACATCGTTCGGTCGTGTCGCGCGTCGCTTTGAAATTTTTGTAGCCCACATCACGAGCAGCAAATGCAAAACGCACAAATTTCAATCAAGTGTGCAACCAAAAATTTGAATACGAATTAAAGCATGTTCAGTGTGTAATAAGAAGCAGAAGAATCAGAAGAAGAAGAAGAATACGAATAAGTAGAAGTAGCAGAGGTGCCAATTCTGAAATATTTCGCGTCAATATATTACAAAGAGTGCATGAACAAATCGAAAAGAGTTTTTCAAATGGTTTTTAAAAAAGCATCATCAACCTAAGGCAAATACAATTTGTTGTTTTGCATCTGTTTACGTACGTGTGTGTGTGTGTGTGTCTGTGTCCATATACATAGCTCGATTGTGTGCGATTTTTATATAGCCAATTTACTAACGGCACTTTGCCCTCCCCATCTCGCCCCCGCCGTGCGTGAGAAGGAGCAGGCCGAAGAAAATTCGCCAAAAAGCAAAAGCCGTCGAATTCTTGTCTCACAACAGAGAAGCTAACACAAAAAGCAAGAAAAAATGTGGCGCGTGCACGTGTGAGACAAATTACAAAAAAAAAAAAAAAAAAAAAAAAAAGAAACACAAAAACAACAAAATGCACACAAAAGCAACAGAAAATTGCCAAAGCATGTGCCGCAGTTAGCTGCAAAAGAGAATTGCCAAAAATACAATAAACTAATATTTTTTATGTTGTAATCGAGTGTGTGCGTGTGAGTGAAGCAGCAACAACAACAAGGCCGCCCCACTAAGGATTATTACACTAATAATAACACACACAACACAACAACCACAGCAACAACAGCAACAGCAAGAAAGCTTAGCAACAACAACAACAGCAATAAACATGCAGTGGATTAAATGTTTATTAACCGCATTCATTTGCTTCACAGTAATTGTGCAGGTAAGCTATTCTCGCTCTCTCTTTTTTTTCCTCTCCCTGCCTGTCTGTCTGCCTTGCTCCTTTTTCTCCTTTCTCCTTTTACATTTTAATTAAATTTCGTAGGACCAGCAACTTGTTGGTTTTTCTTTGGTTATTCTTCTTCTTTTCATTTCGGTAATTCTTGCTACACACATGCGCGCCTGTATTTTGCAGCTGCCGTTATGTGTGTGTGCGTGAAGGAGAGCGAGCTTTTGGCGTTGCCAGCCTGGTGACAGCCAAGAGACGAGCTAAAGTTAGCGGTTTTTATGCTTTGGATAGATGCAGCTCAAGTTTCCACATATGTAAAGTCCTAAAAAATAAATTTGTAAAATTTGGAATTGAGCAAAGGTTGATTACGCCTTTTCATAATAAATTTATTTCGTCTATGTAGTTTTTTTTTTTCAAATTTATTTTGATTATAATTTGGCTAGTTTTTATAAAAACGAAATGTAATACGAGAAGTTGAGTTGAGAAAACAGCTGAGCAAACAGGGGTTGATTTTTAAGGAACACCCTTGCCACTCGTTTAGATGAAAACTAGTTTTGGGTTTTTCAATTGACAAACAGGTCCATATCAAAAATTTAACAGTCTCTATAGGGACACAAAAAAAAATTACCACCAACGGCGCATGCCTCGAAAACGTAAAAATAAAAAAAAAATAAAACAGAAAACCGAGAAGCTGCTCGATTTCAATATGAAACTTAAATGCACAAATACAGGCGCATTGCGTGCGTGTGTGTGTGTGTGTGTGTGAGTGTCTAAATGGGCAACATCTGCCGCTGTCGACATTTTTGCATGCGCTTCTTACTTGGGCGTTTTTGGCTACACTTTGCGTAGGTCAACGTCAACGTCAACGTCGTCGACACATGCGCAGCGGCGGCTGCTCGTTGCATGCACTTGCTCTTGTTTTTTTTTTTTTTTTTTTTTGCGTCTGCTTCTTTCATTGATCTTTAACGCCAGCATCCCCTGAAGATTGCATGTGGCTCTGCTCCACTTCTACTCGGCCGCCTCTCTTTGCTGTTGCTGTTTTTTTCTTGTTCTTTTTTCATTTAGTTGCTAATTTTAACAGCACTCGAAAAAGCGTCTTGAAACCTCCTGCGGTCTTGCGTTTCAGCCAGCTGAAATTTTGCAAGTTTAACTTGGGGCACATCACAAAGTGCAGCTGTTGTTGTTTGGCTTGAAACTCGGGTTATGTTAGTTGCAGCAATCTGGCAACACTCTAAGCTTATTCCTTTTGTATTAGAATTCAGTATTGAAAGCTCCCCCTCCCCCCACGCTGTCTATCACTTTATTTCTTTTACACACGGTTTATTCTCACATGCTGCGTTTTAATATCACTTAACTATCAAATAACCGTACTTTGTGTCTAAATGCTTATCACATACACACAAACACACACATACATACATATGCATATACTCGCAATGCTGTAATTGCTGTTTCTTCTGTTTTGCATTTCGTGCAATTTTCATATTAACATTGAGACAACGACGTCAAATGAATGAATGAATGAGCGAATGAATGAATAACGCAGTCTCTGAGCTTAAATGAGCTGAGCTGAGCCGAGCTGCTTCATTATTTTCGTCTTTGTCTTGCGCACTTTATAACATAATTAATTGCAATTTAGAGACATAGAGAGAGAGAGAGAGAGAGAGAGAGAGGCGGGCGCCGCAACTCCCACACACAGAAGCTGTTTCACTTGCGCTTATAACTATTTCCCAAGCCCGTTGTTAACGGTTGATTATGATGATGACTTTAAATGATTAATAAACAACGTATAAAAGCCAAAGGGCACTTTTTCTATCTCGCTCTCTCCCTTTTTGTTCTCTCTCACTTAACAGCATGAGCTAAACAAACACCTGTAAGAAAATGTTATTAAAATACAAGTAAAATGCGTGCGTTGATACATTTGAATGTGTGCGTGTGTGTTGTAACCCACAACATTCAAACTGTCAGTCAGTCATTCAGTCAGGCAGGCAGGCAGTCAACATAAGTTGACGTGGAAGACACTGAGCAGAAATGGCAAAAAGTGCTGAGGGGCTGCGCGGATAGCGTATGACTGCTGAAGCAGGGGCCCAGCGACCCAGCGTCAGGCCCGAGTGATCACAGTCGAGGAAAATACCACGTTCATATACATACAGTATAAATTTACCATGGCTCGTAAAAACCAACAGCTAACTGAGCAAACTGAGTCAAGCAAAAGGTAAACAATGCAACGCACTATTTTCTAACACTTTTAACAAGTGTCTGTCCCGTTCCCGTTCCGGTCCCCCTTACTGTTCCCGTTCCTTGTCTTGGGCTAACTTGGCATAACTTGGCATTTCAGCTTTCAAGTTCTCTCGACAGGCTTTTTTTTTCTTCCTCTTATTTATGTGTGTGTTTGTGTGTGCCCAAAAGGTCTTCAAGCGTAATAAAGTTCATAGTTGAAGGCAAAGCTAAACAAAAGAACTATAACAAGTGTATAAAATTATGAATAATTTTTTTTTTTTAGCTACGGAAATGCATAGACTATTTGAATTTTAGAAATTAAAAACAATTTATTGGTTGAGGGGAAATTTCGCTATGCATTTACCGTTTCCATATGTGCGTGGGCGGCTGGCTAGCAGAATTTCCCTGCTTGGGAAATTATAATCAACTGTCAAAAATAGTGTGGGAAAATCGTATGCACCGCATTTGAGCATTCAAATGGTGTCAAATTGTTTTACAAAACTATTGTGGTTTTGTGTCATAGCACATCATTTGAAAGCTTTGCACCGCAGCTTTGTTTCTTTTCCCACCGAACACGTGTCTCTGTGTGTGTGTGTGTGTGTGTGTGTGTGTAAATGTTTCGCTGTTATGCAAATTGATTTGCTTTGTACATATTTTGACAACCGCCTGCGCCTTTGTTTGTATGCGCATTGGCGCTTTTTGTTTGCTTCTTCTGCTTTGTTATGCGTGTGTGTGTGTGTGTGTGTGTGTGTGTTTGCTGCATATCAAATAGTTGGCCAGCCATAGCTGTATATTTTCTTGCCCTGCCCTGCACTTGCCTCTTAACCTTCCTTCCGCTTATTGCTTTTTCTAACATTTCTTTTGCAAGAGCTTTTTTTTCCTATTGATTCTGATTCAGTTGCCGTCGCAGTCGCCGTCGCCGTCGCCGTCGCAGTCGCAGTCTGCGTCTCGCGCATCAGCAACGCATCATTGCTGATCGTCTATTAATTCTTATAGTTTTTTCGCACTACTCTTCTTCAAAGCGCCGTTCAGAAAAAAGGAAAAAAAACAAGTTTTCGCTCTTTGCCGCTGCGCTCTCGCAGCTTGCGGAGGCTGTTGCCAGCAGCTGCCAGCTGCACTTTATGAAGCCAACAACAACAACAGCAACAGCAACATAAAAGAAAAACAACAACACTCCAATTCACTTTTAAGTCACGTTTTGCTCTTTTTGCGCTTTGGCGCTGCTCTTTCGGCTGCACAAAGCTCCACAGCACCAGCTGACAACAACAACAGCAACAACAACTGCACACGCTAAACTGTTATAGCTGTGGGGCTTTTGCGCGCTCTCTCTGAGAGAGCGCTCTCTCTTACTGTGACTCTCTCGCTCTCGCTCTTTCAACATGGCTGGCTCTGGCTGTGCATGCATGCACTGCCGTCTGCAGGCCGCTTCTTCACCTGGCGTTCGTTCGTTTCTTGCTTACACCTTTTGCTTTGCTGCGCCTCCGACTGAACTCACCGACGCGACGTCGGGCCCGTCACTTCGTCGCCCGATCGTTCGTTCCTTCGCTCGCTCGCTCGCTCGCTCGTTCGTTTGTTCGTTTTAACCATCAATGTTGACCGGCAAAATCGTATGCCGTGGGAAACAATTCGGTTTTACTTGTTCATTTTTTTCAACGTTTTTCTTCTTCTTCTTCTTTTTCTTTGCCTGCCTGTTGCCGTCGTCGTCGCTGTCGCTGCTGCTGTCGCTGCTGCTGCTGCTGCTGCTTCTTTTTGTGCTGCTCTTTTGCGTCCGCTTTGCCGTGTGTTGTTTTATTTTTATTATTTCTTTTCTTTTTTTTTTTTTGGCCCGCTGCTTATTAATACACGTTTTGTTGTACGTAGCGCAGCAGCGTCGGCGTCGACGTCGACGTCTCAGCCTGCATTTGTCGGCGCGTTCGTTGCTTAAGTCTTTCGTTTTGCGTGTATCTTAGGCGTTTTTTTTTTCCTTCATGATTTTCAATATATTTGATTTGTGCGAGTTGCACTCACAATTGCTAGAACATCAATAATTGCTTTATCTTATCAACCGAATGCGCTCTTGGCCAACAACTCGCCACACTTGCCACAATTACAAAGGCGTGCGGCAAATGTTAGCGCCAGAGCGCTCAATTGCCGAGCCCATTAAATGTTAGTTAAGCAGCTTTGCTACAGTTTTTTTTTTTCTTTCATTTCTCAAAGTCGCCCTTTGTATCATCGAGCCACGCTTTAAGTTTTTTGTTATGCCTCTTCTGGGGCCGCAGACGGATTACACCTGTGCGTGGACGGGGCATTGCTTACACAGCATCTGAAGAAGACATGAGACAACGAGGCAACATCAGACGCACTTCTGCTTAAGTGAGCAATTAAACACCCATGTTCATACAAACAGATCAACTAAACCAGCAACAACAATAACAATAACAACAAGAGCAACACGAACAATAAAAGCTTCCCAAGCGAACGCATGTGGAGCAGCGGCTAGCTGCGTCTCTGTCTTCAGTCGGTGCTCGGGTCTTGTTAACAATTAAATTGTCATTTTAACAAGCTTCACTTGTTGTTGTCAAAATGTTAATTGCCGAACAGTTATAGAAGCAGCAGCAGCAACAGCAGCAGCAGCAGCCGCAATCAGAGCAATAACTCTAGAGCGCCTATTTTTGGGCATTGCCTTGTCGTAGTATTGAGAGTTTTCTGAGCCCATTTATGGATCATAATTATAACTTAAGTGCACTAGCGACAGCCATATACGAAGCGCAAGAATTTCCCTAAAAGACAGACATCATTTTCCCAACAAGGGAAATTATCAAATCTGCGAACAAAAGCGGCTATTTTCGAAAAACATTTCAAATAATCAAGTTGTTAACACACACACGCGCTGCCGACCTATTTTACAAATTCATCTCACACCCAGCATCGTTAAATGTGATAGCGAATTAATTGAAAGAAATTTATGACAGACGCGACTATCAAATCAAATCAAACGAAATCAAATCGCAAATTTGCAAGTTGAAATATGCAAATGCGTCGCCTCCAAAAGGCGGCGCTTCAAAAACGAAATACGAAACGAACTTGGAGTCGACTCTAAAGTAAACCAGGGCCAGAGGGATGGGGGGGGGGGGGGGGGGGGGGGGGGTGGTTAGCAAAAGGCGACCGCTCGCTGTGCATTTTGGTTGCCTGGTTCTTGACTCTTAATATTTCATAAGTCTCCGCTTTGTCCTTTGCATGGGTCTCTTTTGCGCGATCTGCAGCCAATTGCTACTCGATTTGGTATTTGGTTTTGGTTGTCGTTTTGCTTGTGGTTTTGCTGATCGCCACGCGAAATTCCGCAGCGTAGCCGTGTTTCATTTATTCTTTATGCAGCTCTTTTTTTTCGGTAAAATACCATGTTGAAAGATTTATTGCCGTGTTGCTGGGGATGCTGCATTCTTGATTTGTTGTATGCCGGCTGGAGCGATCTTTCGATCGGAGCGTCAACTTAAATGAATTGCTTTTTAATTTGATTATACTAATGCAATATTCTCTCTCTCTTATTTTCTCTCTCGCTCAGGTTCACAGTTCCGGCAATTTTGAATTGCGCCTCAGATACTTCAGCAATGAGCATGGCCGGGACAGCGAGGGCCATTGCTGCACCGGCGAAAAGGATGCGACGACGGGCAGGTGCATTGGCACCTGCAAGACGAGATTTCGTGTCTGCCTGAAGCATTACCAGGCGACCATAGACACCACCTCGCAGTGCACGTACGGGGATGTGGTGACCCCCATACTCGGCGAGAACTCCTTCAATCTAACGGATGCGCAGAGCTTTCAGAGCAGGGGCTTCACGAATCCCATACAGTTCGCCTTCAACTTTGCCTGGCCGGTAAGTGCACGCGATTGCGATCCTCCCGCAACAGATAACTTTGTATATATCTTCCGTCTCTATAAATAGCCGCACAGAGTGAGTCAGCGTCCGCCTCACTCACTCACTCAGTCAGTCAGTCAGTCAGTCAGTCAGTCAATAAAATGTTCAGTGCTGTCTCCGCAGCTCTGTTGTAATTTCTTTTAACTCTGCCCTCTCCCTTTCTCTCTCTCGCTCTCTTGCGGCCTTTTTGCTAATTTGTTTGGGGGCTTTTTATAGCACAGCCCTGCCCGATTGTGCGACTGTGCGTCGCACTTATTTCCGCCCGTAGCCGCAGTTGCTGCCGCGCCGACTGTGTCCTTGTCAAGGGTTGTTGGCGCAAACATCTGTCGGCTATTAAAATACGCTGAAAAACGCGTGCGCCGCCGCGCACCACCAGCGACAATTTCCAGCTCGCTGACTATTGCCCGGGATCGCCAGGGCCGGAGCCGGGGCTACGGGTTGCCGCTTTTCAACCCCTGGCTGACCCCACCCCACACGACAGAAGCAAACGAACGTTACTTTTTTGACAGAGCGAGAGGGAGGGAGAGAGAGAGAGCGAGAGGGAGAGAGAAACGACTTTTGGTCAGCTTTAGCAGATTTTCCTTTAGACTGTCCAGCCTGCCCCTCAGTCGGCCAACTAAGCGCACGTGCTTGCTTAATAAATAACTCAAATTCGAAATACTTTTGCACTCCAGCTGAATTCCTCCATTTGGCTTCTGCTGCTGCTTCTTCTTCTTCTTCTTCTTTTATGCTCCAGTGGCCAAGCAGCACTCGCGCATATAGCTTGTGACGGTTGCATGCGATGCATTTCCTAATTATAACGAGTATTACGGCCACATTTGCCATACCGAATGAAGACACGCCCCCCCCCCCTCCCCCCCTTGCCACTATGCTGGCTGTTCACCCCACATTATTTGTGCTGGCTTTACCTTGCGCTGCGCTGAGGCCCGCTTGCATTTTGTAACGTATTTTTGAAGCGACTTCTCGCTTGTCAGCGCGCCCGCAGCGTGTGCGGCAGACTTAAGGGGTGGATTTGCCCCCTCTCCCCTCACTCTCTCTCTCTCTCTCTCTTTCTTCTGTGTATACACTTTACTTCCTAATCGCTCGCGTATGTGCAGCGTCAGCATTATTATCATTACACACATGCGTTGGCTAAAGTGGCAAAGTCATGCTAGGCCCATGCCTGCTGGGCTATTGCGTCCGGACAAGGGATAGGGGGGGGGTCTAGAGTCTAGCTGGAGTTATCGGCACGTGAATTGTGTTAGTTGCATAAATTTGAGCAGCTGCGGGCAAAGTGAAAATTATGCATAAATATGCGAAATGCATTAGCAAAAGTCAATTAGCAAAATGTCCCAAATGGGAACACCTTTTCAGCGGACATCAGAGCGCGCGTGCCAAAATAGGGAAATTTATAGAATTGCCCAATTGATGATCCCAGTCAAATAGAAATACAGGGAATTTGCTGACAATTCACAAATGTCAGGCAATGTGCGCAACTTCAAATAAAATTGTGCATAAATATGCGAAATGCATCAGTCAAAGTCAATTAGCAAAATGTCCCAAACTGACATGCCAAAATAGGGAAATTTATAGAATTGCCAAATTGATGATCCCAGTCACATATAAATACAGGGAATTTGTTGACAACTCACAAATGTCAGGCAATAGGAAATTGACTATTTCGGTCAGACAATGCTCTATTTTGGTGCTCACACTTTCAACTTCAAATATTTCTAGGTCAAGCTATTAAATGTAATTATAGTCAGCGACTAGACGCAGCAGAGTCGCAGCCACAACTAATTTAATGTTGCACTTAATTAAAATGAGCCACGGGTTGGGCACGGGGCACGGGCCACGCATGCATGTGCGAGAGCATGAGATGCGCTTGTTGCATTGGGGGTTGCCGGAGACGCCTCTTCAGCTGCTGCCGCTGCTGCTGCTGCTGCTGCCGCCTGTGCCTAAAAATAGTCAACGACTGGCAACGGCAGCAACTTTGACGCTCCTCATCGTTGTCTCTGGCTTTTGCTGTTCCCTGTTGCCTGTTGCCTGTTGCCTGTGTATTGAACTTTGTTACTTTTGTCTGTCGATGCGGCCCCTACTCGCCCTCCGTATGACTATGCGGCGGGTGTCTTGTCTTGTCTTGTCTTGTCCCTGTTGCTACGTGGCTGCCACTCCTACTCTGCTCGTGCGCCCTATGCATTTGGCATGCACTTCACCCTATGCTGCAGATATTGACGTTGAAATACAGCGTCGTCGCACGCGATATATATGTTCGCGTGTTCCCATGTGTGTGTGTGTGTGTGTCGCTCATTTATTTTTGGAGCTCATATATTTTATATATACATATGTTTTTTATGTACATGCATAAATATATATATAAATATGTATATATCACAGCTAGTCGCCAGAGTTTGCTAGAATAATTTGAAATTTTCCAATTGAAAAATAGATATTCATTTCGTTTTATAGCCCAATAAGGCATAAAACTTGTAAAATTCCCAATAAATGCAGCGCTTCATTCGTTCGAATAGCCATTGTGAACTGCCAATGATCTATGTGTGCGTGTGTGTGTGTGTGTCTGATTTGTTTCCTGTCGTGCCCATCAGCTTTATGTGCTTATGTGCAAATGCAGTTTTCAATGTCTGGCCACACCACAGCCACATCCAATACTTCAGCTGCTTATGCAATCAAACGGCACTGCGCTTATCAACTAAATTAATTCTACATCTGCCGCCCACGCAACACACATGCAACAACAACAACAGCAACAACAACAGCAGCAACAACAACAGCAGCAACAACAGCGATGCAGCAATCGAAAGTTAGTCAAAAATTAGTCGCTTTAATGCAATGCAAACACGAACTCAAACGCAAACGCAAACTCGAATTCGAATTCGAATTCGAGCTCGAATTCGAACTCGAAGCCGTACGCAATCACACGCCCATTCAAGCTGCTTTGAGCTTAGCTCAGATGTTGCCAATACGCATATGTTTATATGCACACAGCATGTATATATACATTTTGGCTCTTGGATTTTGTGTCATCTCTGTCTGGTTTTTGCCCGCAGCCCCCTCCAGGGCCCCCTCCTCCCCCCCGCTGCATTTGTAATCAAGTGTGAATTGAGGGCGCTGCCAGTTGCCAACTGCTGTGCATTTGCATTTGAAATGTGTTTGTGTTCGTGTGTGTGTTGGCACATTTTTGCCTGCCCCCCCTCTCACCCCTTGCCCGCCAGTTGCCCAGCTTGTGGGCATGTGGGCGGGCGGGCCTCTGCGGCGCTGTCATAATCTGTTTATAATGAGCTCTGTGGGCTGTGGGATTTGTAAGAGCTTTCGAGCCATTAGCTCGAAGCTGGTTTGTGGCCCAGATGATATCTGTATAAGTGCCAGATTTCGTTTAGCCGCTGCACAAGCGCGGATCGCTTCCCGTTTTGATAAGCTGCTCTTCCTCCGACTAACACAATCAATAATTTACCCTTTTTTATTTTTTCTTTAATATGATTTGTATTAACTTTCTTTTTACGCTTTGCTTGCAGGGCACATTCACGCTGATCGTCGAGGCCTGGCACGATACGAACAACAGCGCCAATGCGCGCACCAACAGTGAGTACCAAAAGTTTGTCAACATCCTGTGGCACAGTTATTTTTTATTTTTGTTTTTTTTTTTTTAATTGAAATTCATAACTTGCATCCTGCTTCCTGTTTGATCGAAAGCTGTCAGAAATGTTTTTTGATTATGTTTTTTTTCTTTTTGGCTGGCAAGGATCAACGATCCTTGGAGCGACACCTGATATGCGGCCACTCAAATTTCCTAGTTTCGCTAACTGCGCAACTAACTAAAGTTCAACACTTGCCGCAAGTGTGTGTGCGAGTGTGTGTGTGTGTGTGTGTGTGTGTGTGTGTGTGTGTAAGATTTCCGGCACATTCGAGTGGTTTTAAATAACAGCCAGGTTGAGGCATTGAACGAGCGTCAGGTTTAGCACCGCTGGCTCCCTTTTTTTTAGTCAGGGATAAACCCAGGCCGGAGGCACCGCAGACTTGTCGCCTTTGTTGTCTGCTCGCCCTCGAACGGAAGTGTGCTGAGGTCGTCCCCGTTCCCGTCCCCGTACCGTGCCGTGCTCGTCTTTGTCTCATTTACTTTTTAGCTTGTGTCTGCGTTTTTCTTAATCACGAACTCCCGCTTCTAGGCGTAGGACTTTGATTATTTCACTGCGGAATTTAGCGATCGTGTACGGCGTGTAATTCATCTTGGAACAATGCGACATGATCGTCGATCCAGCAGCCCGATAAGGCCCACACACACAGACGGACGTAGGTAGGGAGGGAGGGATCTGTGTGGTCCATGCCCAAGGACACGCTGCAACACATATCATCCTATTCTCTCTCTCTCTCTCTCTCTCTCTCTCTCTCTCTCTCTCTCTCTCTCTACTCTTTCACATTTTGATCAAAGCAGGTTTTCCATTTGATTTTTTGAACAGTTTTCCCACACAATGCTGGGGCTACCTGCTTGTTTTCCCGACCTGGGACCAAGATTTATGTGGGTTTCCATTAAAATCTAGTCTTTCAGCGTGCCTCATTTTCTGGAGAACCTCCGACTCCTTGGAATAGGAATTTTAATTGTTTAGCTCGACTCGATTTGTTTCCTTTTTCTTCATTTTCTTTTTGATATCCTGCTGTGCGCCCAGCTCGATCTTAACAGCTAATTTTCAAGTACTAGACGCGGCCAGAGCTAATAGATCTTTATCGGCCGGGCAAGCCCTTTGCAATTTCAATTTTGCGCACATTTCTTCTAGTCGCTGTACGCGCTTGTCAAGGATTAATTTCATTATATCAAGGAGGCTCGGGGACGATCTCCCGCATACTTGCGCCCGGCTGGCTGCATGGCAGGTTTACGCCTCGTCTCGAGTGCGTTGCATGGCCAACCAGTTTAGCAGCTCTTTTTGTTATATTCATTTAACATAAATTACATACAAAAAAGGAAAAAGACGATCGCTGGGTCGGCAGGCTGTGCGGGAGGGGTGGAGGTGGGGAGGAACATCGGAACTTGACTGTGTGTGTTGTGCGACCTTTTCGCCAGTTTGCCTGCAGGCAGGAGGCCAGCAGTTGTTTGCCTGCCAGCAGCTGCCTGAGGAGGAGGAGGAGGAGGAGGAGGAGGACGAGACACACAGCTTGACCGGCGACCATCCACCGACCCTCCGTGCCCCCTTCCCCCCACTTACCCCTTGTCCGTGCGAGGCGTCGTGCAAGGTGATTCTTGGCTTGATGCGTCGAAATCTTTCAACTCATGCTCTTAAGATTTTCGCTGGCGTTCTTTTTAGGTTTTGTTTTCGTTTATTTTTTCATTCCTTCTCTTTTTTCACCTATCCCTACCTACCAATTAATCTCTGCCAATGCCAAAGTTGTTAGTTGCACGTTGTTGTGCCTTATTGTTGTTGTTGTTGTTGTTGTTGTTGTTGTTGTTGTTGTTGTTGTTGCTGGCGATGTTGTTAAAATGCTTATCTTTTAATTTTAACTCATTGGATCAAGCGGCAGCCCAGCAACAGTCCCTGGGTCTCTTTTTTGCCACAGAAACAGAAAACTTGTTGCCACCGCCGCCGCCCCCCTTTGTCGAACCGTCTGCAACGTTGCCGCGCCGTCGTGTGTCTTGATAAAATGGTATTTTATAAATTCCTTTAGAAGAAGTCAGCGCGATGCGCTGGCAACAGCGACGGCAACGGCGATGCCGACAGCGACAGCGACTGCGACTGCGACTAAATATTTGCAGTTGCCAAAGCCTTACACTTAAGCCTTGCCCCTTGTCAGAGTCAAGTTTAAGATTCTGGCTCTTGCAAATTTGTTGCACACAAATTTCACTCGAAAGACAAAACGCGCAACAAAGTACCAAAAGTGACTGGGCTAAATGTCCTAAAAGGGAAATTATTGCACAGCACTCGTCCATTTATTTAGGTATATTCAAATAGTTCTAATCGGAATCTCATAACAATTTGGCAACATTTGTTTGTGTTGCGCGAGTAATAGATTGTTCTGGAACAATCTCACATGCAGAGAAATATCCTTTATTAAACATTTTGCTTGAAATTACCCAAGCTGGGAAATTTGGGAAATAGTTATTTATAGATTTGGCAGCACTTCCCAAAGGGAAAATAAAGTACACACTTATCTATTCGCATATCTTGTTTTTGATAATTAGAGTGAAGAATTGATTAAAGAAGAGAAAACATTCCCATCAGGAAAATTCGGGTTATTGCTGTTGACAATTTCCGCACTCGCCGGCCATTAATCATGTCGTTAAGAGCAACATTTTCTTTAATTGCGAAAGTTGCCGCACGCAACTTTTCACTTTGAGTGTGCGAAATGTCTTCTTTTTTTTAGTGTCCTTTTTATAGATAGATAATTAAAAAAAAAAACAAAAATGCCGTTTTGCGTAAATATTTGCAAAAATTCGCTGCGCATGATTTTCCACATTTATTTCTGTCTTATTGTTGTTGCTGTTGCTGTTGCTGTCATTGTTGTTGCACACTGGCCAACTGGCCAAACTGGACCCCGAAACCTGCAGTCAAATTGTGCGTCTCGCTTGAAGCGTTGCCGGTACGTCGCCTAATAACCTGTCATGCCACAAATCCGTTGCCGCATGTGTGTGTACGTTGTGCCCGCGTGTGTGTGTGTTGCAAATGTAAATAAAACCACAGACACACAATATTCAATTCTTTTTGCTTATTTTTGAATATAATTTTTGTGCCTTAAGCTGTGCTTTTTTTTTATATATATTTGGGGAATGTTGTTGCTTGGCGCGAGTCTCAGGCATTGAGCGTTTTTCCATGTTGCCACGTCAGGTGAAGCACACGACTTGGCCAACTTGCAACTGGCTTAGAATTTAGTTTATGCAACACACACACACACACACACACACATGCGCATTCACACATTTTTGGCTGCCTGGTAATTAATTAGTTGATATTTTGAATATGGTTATTTGACTCAAAATTTTGGGCAACCAGTTGGTGCGCTTGTCAATAGCAGCTTGTAATTTATTGGGCAAACAACATTTCTGGCCATATTCGTATTCCTATTCGTTTTTGACTGCATGCCAGCCAGCCGCTTGCCAGCTTGTTGGCTGTCTCTAATCGCAGTTCTTAGTCCAGGCTTTGGCTGTCTAGCTAATCTGTGTGGGCAACTATTTAATCGCACTTTCACTAACTGCCTTTTGCTGTGATCAAGTGTTTGGCAACTTTTGCTTTTGCCAGCGCGCGTTTCACAAAAAAATATATCTTTTCACTCGATTCTTGAGCTAAACAATAGATAGACGGAGATTTATGCATAGGTTCTTTTTATTCTTATTTTTTGTTAACTTAACAAAACTCTTGGCTCGCTTCAGCCTCAGCGTCAGCCACGGCTTGAGGTTCGACTTGGCTGCATGCAATTCGAATAGTCATGCACCTGCAATTTACTTTATAGACCATGGCATAATGTGGCTATATGAAACAGCTATGCATACACACACACACACGCGCACACAGACACACATAGGTACAAACAAGTTGCCATCCAATAGTTTCTCAAAAAAAAAAAACAAAAAAAAAAGACCGGTCCGCTTGGCTCAGCGAACAGCTGAAAATGCAACTGACGTCCGTCTGCGACGCTCAGTTGGTCGTGTGTTGCATGCCTGGCTGACTGTCTGCCCGCCTGCCTGCCTGCCTGTCTCCCCGCTCGCCCGCCCGCCCGCCTGCCTGCCTGTTGCAAATACCAAGTACTTACCCCCGGCTGGTCGCATACCTTGGCACGGCACTTGTGCGCCTGCGCGACGAGTGTGACAAGCGCAATTGCGATTGCAACTCGCCGAGTTGAAGTTTCGGCTTTTGGTTTGGGATTTGTGATTTCTTGTATTCTGTGTTGTGTTTCTAATCTCCCGAAATGCCGCCAGGGACAGCCAGCTCCAGTGCCAGCCTCCCAAGTTCATTCGATACCCTTAAACTGTAACCCGAGTCCAATTAATCTTCATTAGGGCCAACTCGACTCGTATTTTTCTCACACACACACACACACACACACACACAAACCGAAACACTTTACTTATCTTTATGGTTTTGTTTGTATCTCTTTTCAGATCTGCTCATACAACGCCTCTCCGTGCAGCAAGTGCTCGAGGTCTCATCCGAATGGAAGACGAACAAATCCGAGTCCCAATACACGTCGCTCGAATACGATTTTCGTGTCACCTGCGATGCGCATTACTATGGCACCGGCTGTGCGAATCTCTGTCGACCCCGAGACGATCAATTCGGTCACTACACATGCTCCGAATCGGGTGAAATAATCTGCCTGACGGGTTGGCAGGGCGACTACTGCGAGAAACGTAAGTATCTATCAGATTGTTGATTAGCTAGCTGCCTCCAGATATAGATATATAAAAGTACACAGTTATAGATATAGATACAACAGATGAAAGATATATATTCTAAGACTCAGAGGGCCCAACTACTTCAGTTCCATTCTCCATTCGACAATTTTACATTCTTTTCGCCGAAGCTCTTGGCCATGTTTGTTGTTGTTGTTGTTGCCGTCAAGTGGACACAACGTGCCGCGTTTCTTGTGCCGCACTTGACGGGCAGCTCTCATTATTATTGAAAATCACTTGCTTGTCAAATCAAATGAGATGATTGTACACAAAACAAAACTAGGAGGGGTGGAAAGAGGCGGGAGGCACAAGGAGCTGCTAACGAATTAAAAGTGTAATTATTTTGAATGCGTAGCTTGCGATGATTCGACGAAAATGCCAGAGCACATTTGAATATCAGCCGTAGCAGAAAAAAAATAAAAATAAATAAATAAAATTCAAATATCGACGAAAAGCCAAATAGCCAAACAAATAAATTAAAAATCAATGAAGTTTTTTCCTCTCATTTTGTGAGGGAAAAATCATTTGTCATTTGTTGGCGTGGGGCAGAACAAACGGGCGCAACAAAACGTCTAACGAACTGAGAAACTGAGAAACCAAAAGAAATCACCGAGAAAGAGGCAGAAACAAAACAAAACAAAAACAACAGAAACAACACAATTTGAACTCGGACGCGGACTCGGCCCTTTGTAGTAGCCCACAAGCTACCTATGCAGCATTTTCGGGGGCACGCACACACACACACACACACACACAAACACACACGCATACACGCATAGGGACTGTGAATCAGAGCACAAGACTGACGAAGAGCACAAAAATCTTCCCACGCCAAGTGCAAGTGGCCCCAGGTTCCATATTTAAGGTGTGGTGTGGACACACACGCACACACACATACGCATCTACAACAAACACAGATACAAATACAGGCAGCAACAGCAGCAACAGCTTCTTGATCATCATGACGTACCGTCGTGGCTGATGTCGTTTTTGAGTATCTTGCGCCTGCTTCGTCGGTCGTCGGTTGTCGGTCGTCGTCTGCATGCCGCGCATTGCTGAGGACGAGACCAGAGAACTTCCTTTAGGGCTGGCCACGGCTGATTACACCATAAATGTGGTTCGAGCTGGAGCTCGACTGCCTGCCTGCCTGCCTGCCTGCCAGCCTGCTTGCCTGCTTTTTTTCGGGCACATAATTTTGTGTCCTTCTGCTGCCGGTTGAGCAAGTTGCCAGCCAGCAGCAGCAGCAACAGCAGCTGCCTCTTCCGCTCTTTCTGTTGCTATACTTTATTTTCAAGTTAAATGCGCAAAAATGAGCTTAAATTAAGGCACACACACTCACACACACATTTGTGCGAAAATTATTTTCCAACAGCAGCAAATAAAAAGCCAAAACGTGCGGCTGCAAAAACAACAAAAACTCGACAACAAAAAAAAAAAAAAAACAAGCGTTGCTCATGTGGAAGTGGCTGCCTTTATTAAATTGGCCCAAAAGGTCTGCAAACATGGCTTTGTTTTTTTTTTTTTGAATGAAACTTCGATTGCTTTGGATTGGTAACATGTATGTGTGTGTGTGTGTGTGTGTGCGTTTTAATTTCAAGGAAATGAGCTATTTAGACTAAAGTTGTTTACTTTTGTGAATGGGCTGAAAGGGCAGCTGTGCACTTGTGCCTTGCGCACAGCGAGATACATTTGTATCTGTCAGATGCGTGCGATCGAATGTTTGCAAATTGGCTTTCGCATGCAGTCGGTTTGTTAAAATGGCAAAGTTACAAATGTAGCTGCAAGATACAAATGTATCTGTAAGATGCAAATGTATCTGTGAGATACAGATCGTAACTAAGCGCACTCAAGTGAAAGTAAATACACACCAATTGGAATAGTCCGTCATAATCATTAACCCTGCGCTCCTAAACCATGAGATACATTTGCGTCATCCGCTTGCGGGCGTGTGAACACACACACACACGAAAGAAGCCAAGAACATAACGAACCCGAGCACGTTTCAAATAGACACGAAACGATCCTCAGACCTGGCTACCAGCTAACAACCCGTAACAACAACAACAACAACAACAACAAACTCACTTTCAGTCGGTGTGGAAAAACAATTTTGCTCTGCTTGGCTATGCTCTGGCCTGGCCTGGTCTGGTCTGGTCTGGTCTGGATTGCTCCTCGGTCTGTGGCCATGTAATAAAAATCATTGCCAATTGCCAATATTACGGCTTATATATATTAACTGCGTGCGGGGGAATTAAAAGCGCATAGCAGCAGGAGCCGGGAGAGAGAACACGTTTTAGTGATTTTCTAGCAATTTTCCTGCTGAATGAAAGAAACTTACTCGGGGTGTCTGCGCTGGCTGGCTGGCTGGCTGGTTGGCTGGTTGGCTGGTTGGTTGGCCAGTTTAAAGAGGAGCTTTGCCTTATTCGCAGTGTTCACGATTTTCTTTGTGCTCGGCCCTTGCGACGAAGCGGGCGGCAGCGAAGACTCCCCTACTTCCTGCCAGGGCCCAGCCCCAGATCGAAAGAAACATGTTTGCCACATTCTTGGCCCAGCTTCAGCAGCAGCAGCAGCAGCTCTTCTTCGCCCTCTCTCTCTCTCTCTCTCTCTGGCTCTCTGTCTCTCTCACTCACTCGCACTCCTCCAATTCACAATCGAAGTTTTCGTCGAACCTTTTGGAGCTTGGGAATCGGTTTTCGGGCCGCGGTTTATGATGCTGCTGCAGCTCTTTGCGGCCATGGGATTATTTCATTTTGTGGTGTTTCCTTTTGGCCTGGCCGGGTTGGCCTGGCCTGCCGCAGCATATTAGAAACAAGTTATTCCTGCTGCCGCACAGTTTGAGAGTCACTAGCGTTTTTTTTTTTTTTTTTTGGGCCATGATTCATGATTTTGGCCACAACATTTTTAAACGTTTTGTCTATCTAGTGTTGAATTGTTACGAAGATGCCACATTTTGGCCCGTTTAGTGGTTTTTCATTGCCCAGACGCGTGAAAAAGAAAGTTGATTTTCTTTCCCCCATCAAATTGCCTCAAATCTTGTTCGCATTGTGTTCGCCTCATTGTTTTGTCTTTGGCTTCCATCAATGTGGGCTGCGTGTGGGCGTAACTGGGCATTGTGACAGGTGGTCGGTCAGCTGGGCCACTTAAAAGCCAAATGTGTTGGGAAAGTGTCGCTTCGCGAGGCTATTATTTTTAAGTATTTGCCCTTTGTTAAACTGATCAACATATCAATTAATGTGATTTGCATACCCTTTCTTTCTATTTGCAGCCAAATGCGCCAAAGGCTGTCTCCATGGTCAGTGCGATAAGCCCAATCAATGCATGTAAGTATTTGAGTTAAATAACTAAACTTAAAACAATTGAAACAAACCAAAAAAAAAAAAAATAAGAGTTTAAAGCGGGACCACCCGCAACATGTTGCTGCGTATTGCGCGCAACATGTTGCTAATTAAGCAAAGCTTTTCTTTGCCAAGATGAGCTGATTTTTTTTTCTGTTTTGTTTGCTGCACGTTTTTGCTTCAGACAAACAACAATAATTGTCATTGGACACACCTTTTACACAGTTTTATTTGTTGTTTTTGCTTGTCGAGTGCTGCCAAGTTTGGTAAAGGGCAAAAGCATAAGCAGAGCCAGAGACAAAAAGTGGCAAAAAGTGGCAACAGCACCAAAAGTCTGTTTGCTTAGCCGTTTAGTGCACGTTTTGTGCGACCACAAGAAATTCTTTTGGATGTCTTTCGGTCCGTCGGTCGGTCGGTCGGTCGGGAGTGCATTGGCTGTCATTTGATTGTCGAGGTTTTGCATTACAATTATTCGAGTGCTGCCTGCTGAAATAGTCAAGTAAAAGCAATACACACAGCGGCGAACGAAATTGAATTACAAAGTTTTCCCACATTTTTCATAGGGCAACAGCAACAACAACAACAACAACAACAACAACAACTGCAGCGGCAGCGGCAGCAACAACAATGACACAGCAAGGTGTAAGCCAACACTTTTGACGACGCTGGCAAATATTTTATGCATGAAATTTCAAGCTCAAATCTCAGCTCATGGCGTTGCCATCAGCCAGCAGCGGCAGCAGCAGCAGCTGTTGGCCGGCGTTGCCAGCTCGAGTGCAGAAGGCTAATTGCGCCGTTCGTTGTTTAGATTTCTTCTTGTCGATTTTGAACAGGATGTTGCTCATTATTTATGCATTGCTGGCCAATAAAGTACATATATTCCCGCCTATTGATCGTAACAGTTCCCACTCTGCCAAACGGAAATCAAACATTTTGTGGTTCAATCAATAATTGTGGCAAAACCAAAAATTCAAACACATCATTGCGCCCCGCCAGCAGCAGCAGCAGCAGCAGCAGCAAATGTTATTGATGTGATTTGGGATAAAATGTTTGTTTTATAAATAGGCCCCGACGTGTTGATTGTTCGTAGAAAAAACCGCAAGCGTTACGCTCAAGTATGCGTGTGCCACTCAGCCAAATCCCAACACCAACACCAAAGGCAAAGCCATTGAAAATTAAAGTGCTTTTTGTGCTGCGCTGCCTCGTAATGGTGGGAATATTTTAATAATTCTAAGCGCGCGCGCTATATGACCAAATACACACACACACATACACTCAAACGCACGCGCACACACACACACACACGCACACGCACTCAGCTGATAGTTGAACGTTGTGTCGCCAACGTTTTTGACATTTCTGCTTGTGTAAACACTGACGCATATCAATTACCACTTGTCGTTTCTCTCTCTTTCGCACCGTTTGTGCACACCCCCCCCCCCCCCCATACACACACACCATAACATTTACTTTGAATTATTGCCAATTGAGAGTTTGTGGGTGAAGGATTTTTCTCTTTCGTTTTTTTTTTGGCTTTTGCATATTAATCGAAAATGCATTTGTGGTCAGCGCACAATGCTATGTGTGTGTGTGTGTGTTTGGCAACGCAAAGTGGAGCGCGCTGCAAATAAAATAAATTAATTTAGTGCTTGCTGCGATCGTGAGAAATGCAAAATTGCATGACCCCTCGCCCGCCCCGCGTTGTCCGACGCTGTGCGGATATGTGCACTTGAACAGAAAATGGAAGAAAAAAAACAACAACGTCGCATCATTTCATTGTTTTTTGTTGTACTTTTTTTTGACTCTCAAGTTGACATGCCTTTTCCCTACAACTTCTCCTTGGGCACGGCTGTCAAGCACACGTCCCGCTCGGGGGCATCAAGCGATCCAAATCGTACGGGCGTTCGGGCAGGAGCAGTAAAAGTGCAGATCCCAAGCAAAAGTTGTCGTTGCCCTTTTGTTTTATTTTCTTCCAAGACCCAGCCAAGCGTTGCTGCGCCCACACGGCCAATTACGTACATATGTATTGATTTATGTCTGTGTGTGTGTGTGTGAGAGTATGTGTGTTTGTGTGCGAGCGATTTGCTAAGCAGGTGATGCGCCTTCTTTCCTTTATGCTTTCGCATCGGCTGAGTCTTTGACTTCAAAAGTAAACCAGCGCCCCGAGCGCAATAACCGTGTCCGTCATGTCCAGCAATCAGCGTCCCCTTCCCTTCCCTTGCCTATGCATATTTCATTGATGAGCAAACGTTTGTTTTTTCTTATGCTTTTTGCCTTTTGCATTGCATTCGTTCTGCTTTTGGAACTGGCAGCAAACAAATTTAGTTATCGATAAGCGAAAAGTGAACTAGTTCATAATGCTTGCAATTTGATTTGTGGACATCCTTTAGAAAAAAAAATTGAGTTATCGATAAGTGATCTGTGAACTAGTTCCATCTGCCATCTTTAAATATTTCGACTTCTTTTTTGCTTTTTATTCGACACTTATTAATTGTGCTATCCTTGCTCTATTTGCAGCTGCCAGAAGGGCTGGCGAGGACCTCTGTGCGATGAGTGCGCTCCGTACCCGAGCTGCGTGCACGGCACGTGCAACAAGCCATGGGATTGCATCTGCAACGAGGGCTGGGGCGGTCTGTTCTGCAACCAGGACCTGAACTACTGCACGAACCATCGACCCTGCCTGAATGGCGGCACCTGCTTCAACACCGGCCAGGGCCTGTACACGTGCATGTGTGCGCCGGGCTATAGCGGCAACGATTGCCAGACGGAGATCAACTCGTGCGATGCCGACGTGAATCCCTGCCAGAATGGCGGCACCTGCGTGGACGAGGCGACGCAGCGCGGCTACAAGTGTCTGTGCCCCAAGGGCTGGAACGGACGCATGTGCGAGGAGAAGCTGCTGACCTGCGCCGACAAGCCGTGCCACCAGGGCAGATGCCGCAACACGAGCAGCAACAGCAAGCAGGGGTTTCAGTGCGACTGCCCCAGCGGCTATAGCGGCAACACCTGCGAGCTGCACCTAGACAACTGCAATCCGAATCCCTGCCAGAACGGCGCCAGCTGCCAGCCAAACGGCAAATGCATCTGCCCCGACGGCTACACGGGCGCCAAGTGCGAGCAGAACATCGATGACTGTGTGGGGCACAAGTGCCAGAATGGCGGCACCTGCATCGACATGCTCAACCAGTATCGCTGCCAGTGCGTGCCCGGCTTCCATGGGCCGCGCTGCAGCAGCCGCGTCGATCTTTGCCTGACCAAGCCGTGCGCCAACGGCGGCAGCTGCACCAATCTGAACAACGACTATCAGTGCGCGTGTCGTGCGGGCTTCACCGGCAAGGACTGCTCCATCGATATCGACGAGTGCGGCAGCCTGCCCTGCCACAACGGCGGCACCTGCATGAATCGCGTCAACAGCTTCGAGTGCGTCTGCGCCAACGGCTTTCGCGGCAAGCAGTGTGACGAGGAGTCCTACGACTCGGTCAGCTTCGATGCCCATCAATATGGCGCCACAACACAGGCGCGCGCCGATGGCCTCACCAATGCCCAGGTCGTGCTCATCGCCATCTTCTCCGTGGCCATGCCGCTTGTCGCTGTGATCGCCGCCTGCGTGGTCTTCTGCATGAAACGCAAGCGCAAGCGCGCCCAGGAGAAGGACGACGCCGAGGCGCGCAAACAGAACGAACAGAACGCGGTCGCCACGCTTCATCACAATGGCAGCGGCGTCGGCGTGGGCGTCGGCGTCGGCGGCCTGCCCGCCGGCACGCTGGGCGTGAAGCGCGGCAGCAGCGGCGGCCTGACCTTCGACAACAGCAATCCGAACATCATCAAGAACACGTGGGACAAGTCGGTCAACAACATCTGCGCCTCGGCCGCTGCAGCTGCTGCGGCCGCGGCCGCTGCCGACGAGTGCCGCATGTATTCCGGGGCGTTGGCCAACTATGCCGCCGCCGCGGACAACAATGCCAATTCGGAGTTCTGTGGCGTGGGCCAGATAGCGCCGCTGCAGCGCGCCAAGTCGCAGAAGCAGCTCAATACGGATCCCACGCTCATGCATCGCGCCTCCCAGCTGCTCTCTGCAGGAGCTGGAGCCGCCGGAGCGGCAGCGGCAGCAGCAGCAGCAGCAGCATCTGCTGGCTCAACCAAAGACTACAGCGCGTCCGGCGCTGGAACGGGCGCCAGCGAGGGCAAGGGCAAGCGCATCTCGGTGCTGGGCGAGGGCTCCTACTGCAGCCAACGCTGGCCCTCCTTGGCCGCGGCAGGTGTTGCCGGCGCCTGCTCCTCGCAGCTGATGGCCGCCGCCTCGGCGACGGGCAGCGGTGCGGCGACGACGCAGCGCACCGTGGTCTGTGGTACGCCGCACATGTAAGCAAAGACTGCCAGCGAGAGAGACAGAGAGAGAGAGGGAGAGCGAGAGAGTGAGAGAGAGAGACGCCAAATGAGCCGTTTATGGCTTTGTTGTTGATTGAAGCAGTGCAGTCGTCAAAATTGTAACAGGCTTAACTCTACACACACCAACACACACATACACATACACCCACCCACACACACAAGCACACACACACCCACACACCCACACTTATCGATCAATTTTAAAACCTTAAATCGTAATTATTAATTTAACATTTTAGTTTCACATGGACTGACGTAAGCATAAAGTTCTCAATGTACATAAACCTAAATACATATATATATATATATATATATATATATCTATATATATATATATATATCTATATATATATTTAAGTAATACGTATATATATGTATATAAAAAGCTACTCAAGAAAATCAATTGTTTTTGAAAACTCTGCCTTCGACTAAAACTCTCCACACTTGACCATGGCAACGGCGCGAGGGCTGCGGCTCGTAACTGAGAAAAGAGAAAGCGCTGGCAGCCACGAGAAATTCTAGAAATTCTAAACTGGACGAAATCAAACTCTATATATACATATACATGTATACATACATATATACTGACGTTTTGCATGTTACTGAAAAATCTGCTTCAATTATTATTATTAATATTATTATTATTTTCACTTAGTTGCGATAAATTGTAAATACTACTTAACGCAAAGAACTCTAGCACATAATTAGCAATTAATTTACAGACTAAGTTAAATACAAAAAATTCCTCATTGACGCTGCATGGTCGACCGACTTGTCCACTTGTCTATGCAAAGTAGTGCACAAGCATTTTGTATATAGTATCTATAGGTAAACGCTCTGATATACGACAAACACACACACACAAAACAATATAATAATAAAAAAAAAAAACGAAAAATAATAATAATAATAATTGACTATCTCGCGATCTATTTTTAGTGTCAAATATGACTAAAATTTAACTCTAGCTTAATTACATTATCTAAAAAAGGCCTACACAAACAAACAAACAGACAAACAAACAAACGAAGAAGACAAACAACAACATTTAGTGATTCTATAATAAGTGCTTAATTTTTACACTATATACACCTTTTATTTCATCTTACTTTTTTTTAAACATTTTTGTATTATTTTTGGCATTTTTTTTTTTTTTTTAATTTGGAGCAACTATAGAAAAGAAGTCAACAATATTTATAGTTAATAACTAATTGTTAACGAAATGTATTGAATTTATAAATCTTAAGCGTAAATTTATTTGATACAAAATGAAAGATACAAAAAAACCAGACAAAATTGAATGAAATATACAAAATACAAAAAACATTTAAACTAATATATGCGTGCGTATGTTTGAAAGTCTACAGAACAGTATAGTCTTATTATTATTTCCTCTGTTGTTACACAACAGTAAGAAAAATACTAACAAAAAAAAAAACACAAAAAAAAATGATTTACATTTAATTTTGATCTCAAAACCATTAAACAAACAATGTGTAGTATGCAAGTATGACGCAACATCTGTTTGCGTAATTCCAAAATATCAAAATTAAATCTTCACAAAACGAACTCATAAAACTTACAGTTAAATTGCAAATGGTTCCTCGTTAGTGTAAAACTAGTTGTAAAAGTGCTAAAAAAAAAAACAAAAAAAAATTAAGAATTATATATATTTTTCTTATACATTTGCTAATTAAAAAAAAAAAAAAAACCAATCAGCGCTCATCAATATTTATCTCAACTAATTTTGTGTACATATTAACTAAAAGCTCTCTTTAAAACATTTTGTTATCTACGCTCATACATTATATATATGCTTAAGCCGCCTATATACATATGCATATATACATATATTTTTTATAAATATTTAATTTTTTAAATAGTCGTTTTTAGTAATTTATATTTTTATTGCAAAAAAGAAAACCTAAAAAAAAAACACACACACATACGTCAGATTGTAAAAAGTTTATAAGACATTAAGTACATATATTTATACAACATGAAAAAAATATTAAAATAGTAGTTACATACATACAATTGTAATTTAGTGTTGTACTTACGAATTAGTCTAAACAATTTTATGAAATTTTAGTAATTAAAAAATGAATTGAAAACAAAAAACAAAAAAACAAGAAAAAAACACAAGCTACAAAAAACGAACAAACAAAATGCAAAAGAAAAAAAAAATATGAAAAAAAAAACAATAAAAATTTGTATGAATGAATTCTCAAAACAACATTTTATTATTAAAGCCCATGGCAAGCGGCCCACTGTGGCTGGCTAAAATGTGGCAACGCTGTGCACAAAATGACAACAGCAAAGATGGCGACGCATTTCAAGTGTTGAACAACGACAGTCAGCAACAGCTGCCACCGGCAAGTGTTTGGCATTCCTTCAAGCGAAGATTGACAAATAAAGAGTCACATTTACGATAGGAACAAGTGTAAACCGCAAACTATTGGCATAACATCCGAATTATAGTTTAATTACAATTGCATGCCGCAAGAATGCATCGAAACATAGACAAGCACGGGCTGTGTGAGAAATAAGTGAAATATGTAAATATGTATGTGTGTCGCGTGTTGTGTGCGATGCCAGAAAACATCAAAAGTTGTTATTGCTGACGGAATTTGTTTTGTCTGCTTGCTGCGCATTTTCGTATGTTCGAGGATCTGAGTGAAGCACCGTGGAACAAAGCCGCAGTGGAATGCAAATATGCGAAAACATAAACGAAAGTAAGATGAATGCGTGAGTAATAGCACATAAATACACTCGAGAATTATCTCAGAGACGTTTAGAGTAAATAGAATTGTTTTGCAATATGAATCCACACCATGAGCCAAACCATTTCTGAAGCGCCTACTCAATTTGCGCACTCGGGTGTGCAACGTGGCCCATAGTATCTGCCTGCATCGTACAGAGGCGGCTCGGGTATGCCGCAGTCTCTGGTCGCTGCAACAAAGCATTAACAATAAATTCTCGCATGCCATTGTGAAATTCTCACAATAATCATAAATAATACTTTATTTTTTTACTTCTTAAACGGGTGGCTACTAATGAAGTTGCCGAGGAGTGCGTATATTGTCTGCGACTAGCTTTGCATATCTTTTGTTGCCTGTCAACATGGGCCACAAATATCATAGATATGGCTATAGCCGCAACATAGAGATGCGCGCGAGAGGCGAGACTCCGCCTAATTAAGCAACTTTCAACTTGGCAACACAAAGTGGCAAGTCATTTGGACAGTGGGCAGTATAACTTAATGTTGGCCCGTCTGGCATATCATTTACAAAACAATTACGTATACGCCCGGGCGGCGAGATGCATCGCTGAGCGAGGCGAGCTCCACTTGAATACTTAACCATTAAAAATGCCCTATGATAATATTATGTTAGGCTGTTTTGCTGGACACACGTTGCCCCACGTGGGGCAGCATGTGGAGCCGTGACACTGCTCATTCAAGAATTCATGGGCCATCGTCCACTTTGTTTGTTTACCAAGATCGTTTACTCCACATTTTGTCATTTCACGGCCCGTGTGGCTTGAGCTGGACGCGTCTATTACTTGGCACCTAATTGTGTTTACGTAGGCGTCCGGTCCGGTCCGGTCCGGTCCTTCATGAAGTGCGAGGGCAAACTCCAAATTAACTCATTGAAAGCGCGTTTCAATTATGTTTAGACAAACAAGAGCCGTGGGCACGGGGTTGACAGTAAAAATGCACGGTCTGTCAACGGTTTCCCAAATATAAGTATATCCCAGACTCATTTCTTATTTTGATGCCTTTGTCTGCGTCGCGCAGCCAGTTGAAAAATGTTTGGCTCAATTCTCATAATGCCAAGCCAAGGAACAACAACAACAACAACAACAACAACAACAACAACAACAACAACAACAACAAAACATTGCAGCCTTCGGAAAAAAAAGATCAACAAGAAGTTTGTGTTCTTGTTCTCATTCTTGTCTCTTTGGCTTGTCTCGTATATAAAGTTCTGTAGTCGCGTTTTCAGTTCTGTGTTTTTTTTTTGTTTTTTTTTCTTTCTTTTTTTTGTTGTTGTCTGAATCCATCGTGCATTCATTGTCCGCGTCTAATCGCTATAAAAGATCTCGCTTTTCATCTTCGTGACGCTCAACTGCGTTGTTGTTGATCTTGAAAATTTGCTCTAAACGAGCAGCGCGAACAACAACAACAACAACAACTGCCTGAATCAAAATCAAAATAGTAAACTGAGCTATCGGATTGTTAGATTTAAATGTGTTCAGCGCACATGATCGGAAATTGTTGCTGCTCTCAGAAGATTGGGCCATGCACACTGAGAGAAATTCGAGGGTAATTAATATAAAATTTGAATTTGCAGTGAAGCTTCTGTTTATTAATTTAATTTATGACTGACAAAACTAGTCTCCACACAAGAATTCATTACAGTAAAAGTTAAAGTAAAAATTTAAAATAAAATACATAATAATTAAAATAAATGACAATAAAGGGAGAAGGCTTAGAAGATATGAAAGCGATAAAGAAAACTAGAGTAAGTGAAAAGTTGGAAGATCATATAATTCGAAAAGGATAAATAGTTTCTTATTTACAATAAATATTGTTACGATATAGATGAACAGCTGTTTCAGTCCGATCCTGCCCCTCACAACTAAGAAACTCCTTGGTCAGTTCAACTGACAACTTTTTGTAGAAAGAAATTATTAGCGCCACAGCTCAAGTCTTGGCTAGCAACAAAGTAACAAGGCACCCCATAATTGTGCTCAGTGTACGCTACTCATATTTCAAAATGTGGCTTTAAACACACACCGCTAACCCATAAGTGCCCCATAATTTAATGAGCTTCATTCATTCATTCATCTCCCCAAATGTGAATCCCGAACTAGAGAGGCACACACAGCTCCCCGTGAAGACGGCGACGACGACGACAAACCGAAAATGAGATGAATAAAAAAAAAAAAAGGTCATCTTATCATAAATAAACTGACATAAAATCAAGAATCAAATTCAAAGCGAAGACAACCCAAAACAAGGCAGCCAGGGGCAGACGCGGAGCAGGCAAGAAACAAATCCGTGGCCAAAAGTACATTGTCGAGAATTACACAATAAATGAAATGCAGACCAATGGAGCGCACTGTCTGGCCAGACAGACAGACGGACAAACAGACGGACGGACGGACAGACGGACAGACGGACAGACTTGGCACGGAAAGACGCCAGACAAAAAGCGCAGAGAAAA